TAGAAAGGCCATTCTAATACAAATACTAAATATACTAGCTACTAAAGCAGACCAAAAATTTGCAAAAATTAATAATCTGAAAACAAACCTCAAATGAACTGTATACTACTTTTACTCCTACTTCAAAGCCTATCTCAATACTGCATCAGTAAATAATGATATTTTAACTCTTAAACTTAAAAAGCTCTGAAAAAAACTATCTTACCTTCTATTAGCCCTCATACTCTTGCACGTATATTTTTCTATTATAATATCAAAACTCGATCTAAATTTTCAATACCCCAAATCCAGCAAGAATATGAACTTAAACACTATATCGAGGCTGAAAAATTTATTATTAAACACTACAAGATCAACATCCTATCTATCTTAGATGACTCTCTCTTCTTCTTCTCAAACTCTGTAAACTCCTCAACCTCCTACAGTTCACTTTTTCAATAACTCCTTCTATAGACAACATTAATACAGCTATTGCTTCCAAAATAATGATATTCTCCACTAATAGTGGGCCATTTTTGAAAGAGAATGATGTAAGTAGGCAGGTAGTAAAGCCTATTTACGTGGAAGAACCAATTAATGATGATCAGACTCAATATACAGAGCAGACTTTGGTTTCTTGCACAACGTAAAAGCCAGGTATATGGTAAGTGACTCTATAGAAGGAACTTAAAAAGTTTTAGCTTCTAACCTATTAAATCTTGCTAAGACTTCCTCTCAAAACACATTTTTTACAACATCCAAAAAGTTACTATTCCATCTATTTTTATAAATACCTCCACAACCAAATTCAAACCTTTCAAAAACCATTCTCCTGAAGACTCAGATAATAACAATACATCCCCAACTACAAACACTATATTAGGCAAATCTACTAACCCTCTTCTTTCTAATCTACTTGATCTTTATGATTCTACAACATGCTATAACAAATTTCTATCCCACTACAAACTCCAACTTCTACCTTCACTACAAATACTTGCTTTCTTTATATATTTTATTAAATCAAACTACTCAATCTTTTTTTCTGAACATTATATCAAATTTTCTGTTTAAACAAAAACCAAACATAACTCTGAAGAGGCACATATATACTTACTATATGAAACTTCTCTTCTACCTAATCACTTCTTACTTCCTTTTAAAAATCTTTCTAACTTTCAAAATACTCCTCTCAAATCTTACTTTCTAACAAATATACCATCTTTACAAACTTGTGAACTCTCCTTAAATCAACTATCAAACTACCATATATCAAACTCCCCTTCTATTCTTGAATATGCTTCACTTCTGATCAAAATTGCTTCCTTAAATATTAATGGCTTTACTCAAGCTAACAAAAAAACTTGCAATTTCAGAAGCTCTCAATAATAATTCTTTCGAAATCTTAGGTTTTTCCAAAACACATCTCTCAAACAAAGAAGAAAAATTCTTCAATAGCCAAATCCCAAACTATACTAGTTTCTGGAGCTCTTACTCCTCACCACCACCAAGCAGGTGTGGATATTCTTATTCATCGCAAAATTGCAAACCATATTGCTTGCTCACACAACTACCAAGACCATATTATTGGTTTAGATCTTCATTTTAAAAATTTAGCAATATGTCTTCTACAAATATATATCCCAACTATACTTGCTGGACAAACTCTTGGGATTTGAGATTTGTTCATAGACAAACTCGAACAAATAGAATTGTTTAGCCATACTTGAAAATCCTATATAAACAAACTGGACAAATCCCAATCTCAAATTCCAAATTCCAAACTCTGGCCAAATTCCAAACCTTATTCCAAATCCCAAATCTCATCCCAAATCCCAAATACTATCCCATGTCCCAAATTCCAAATCCTATTCAAAATTCCAAATTTCAAATCCCATCTCATGTTTCAAATTCCAAATCCTATCCCAAATTATGCACCTGTATCTCTCAATTTACGATTAGCAATCAATAGTAGAGATAGGAATCGAACTTAATATAATTAATTATATTACTGATCTATTTAAATTTTTTAGTTCAATTTGTTTGATCAGATTGTTCATACCATACAGCGCGGACCATAGTACCCCGGATATAATTACTTCCACAAGCAAAATCCAAGTTAGTATCCGGGTATAATAAACAAAGAGTACTTTACATAGAGACGGGTATAATGCAATATATAGTACCCGGGTATAATCATACAATACCTGGGTACTATATATAGCATTATACCCGGATACTATATATAGCATTATAACGATAAAAATATTAAATCTACTTCTAAAAAGGTAAGTGTAACCAATCTTTGCTTGTAGCATATTAGGTTTCACACAATACTATATTTGTTACATAGTATAATGTAGAGGATAGTATATATTGCATATATGCATAAGAGTATGTACATTACATATCGGTTATATTTAAAGAATGTAACACTTTACATAAAAAAATAAAAATTAAACCTGCTTCTATCTTCAAACTTACTAGTACAAAAAAAAAATAATGAATTATTAATTTTCATAGATGCTAAAGCCGGGAATATAAAAGTTATAGATTATTATACAAAAATAGTATAAGCACAAAAAATGAAGAAGAAATAAAAAAACATTTGAATATGTAGTTTGAAGATTGTTACAAAAATGGTACTGGTATAATAAAAGAACATTATAATTGAATCTGAATTCTGTTAAAGTCAGAAAAAGAAAAGGTATAGATTGTTATAATAAAGAGTAAAAAAAAGCCTTTGAATGGTATTTAAAATCTTAAAATAGCAATGCAATTCTAAATTCTGTTATAAAGATAATGTAAAAAAAATTTGATCTAGTGATAATATAATCTGATGAAGTAGCGTAAGAACTATGAAGGATGAAAAAAGAACTTGTACATATAATATAGAAGGTATTCAAATAAAATTTGTATTATAAATTATAATTATTAAATAAAGCTACTAACTTTTTAAATAAAATAACTAAAACAAACTTTTAAATACTTATTAGAAGCATCAGTAATAAGAAACTTTATACTATATACTTAGCTATTACGTATAATTAGCTGATTACCTAATCACTATTAAAATCACAACCATATAAATTTAAGATTTTAAGCAATGCGAAATCAAAACAGTAAGATTTTATTATGGTTGTTTGTGGAAAAGGTGTTAAAAAAACACATAACAATAAAAAAAAAAGGCGTCAGTGGTTTGTGAGAGAAAAATTAATAGTCTTATATTATTTACAAGAAACTAAAAGTGTAAGAGCAACTGCAAGAAAGTTTGAACTTCAACCTAAACAAGTACGTGATTGGAGAAATAAAAAAAAAACATTAATAGCAGCTGCACTGTGGATTCAAAAGTTAAATAAAGGAAGATTACCTAGCTTTCCGAATCTTGAAACTGAATTAGCTTTGTGGATTGAGGATATTCGTAGTAAAGGAAATGCAGTTTTATGTCTTATTGTTACTGAAAAAGCAAAAAAAATGGCAACAAGACATGCTTATCAAATTCAGTATCCCAATCTTATCTCATTTAAATTTT